TTCACAAAACAAGTATTCATTATGAATACTTGTTATATTCTAAAGGGCCTTATAGCTACCCACACTCAAGGGCAGATCTATTAAGGGGCTAGGGTGGTCTCGGAACATTTGAAAGCTTAGATAAATGGTTGTTTGGATCTTCGAGGACCACCCAAGTCTAGGCAGTGGTGGAAAAGAACAGCAGCCATAGTTGCTACAATGCAAAACAGAAGGAGGAAGAAGAAAGCCAATTATTTTTTTCAAATGACTTGGCTAAAACAACTTCGTTTTGAGCTAAGTCATTAAAATAAATTAAAAAACTCACGTGATAGAGCACTTAAGCTAGTAGTAATATCTTTTATAGAAAGTCAAAACATTTAAAATTTAATCAAAGCCAAATGGCTTTTCATTAGTTTGACCACTTTCAATCCAATTCACTTTACCAATTACAATTTATAATATCTAACTGTCTTTGCCATTCTTGTTCCCCATTTCACCCAAACCAACCACGAAGGTAACCAGCAGCAACTTCAGAATTTATGTAAGATTTAGTGTGAGTTCATACATATTTATTGTTAATTTATTAAGATTTTTAGTTTAGTTTTTTTTTTTCTTCTGAAAAACAATACTTAAAAAAAAAGGGCCAAACAGTGAATACATATAAGGGTCTTTGATAATGTATTTGATAAAAGGCCAAACAATCAAAACACTAATTAAACCATTCAAAAACTCAAATTTAGAGGTTCGCAGGACATACACAACCAAACTACACATCCTCAACAAACAAAAGTACAACCAAATTGGGAACAATATTACAAGGGAAAATCATCATCAATTAGTTTGAACAATCCTATTCCAAATAGTTCTTCTTCAAATTTGGATAGTTCCAATCCTATTCTGGATAGTTCACCTCCAAGTGAAAATAGTTCTAGTCCAATTGCTGATAATTGCACTCTACAACAAAATGAGTTAAAAGTTATTTGGATAATCTTGAGAGAGACCCCGAAAACAAAATTCCAATAAAGGATTATCCTCCAAATATTTGAGATGAGGTTTGAAGAGCATATATATTGATGGAGCCTTTTAGAGCTAAAGATCATGATTTTCCATTCACTTTGCATTCAAATAAAAAGTTACGGTTTGTTGATAGTTGATTAAAGGAATTTCATTGGTTGAAATATAGTATATTTAAAGACGCTGCATTTTGCTTTTATTGCTATTTATAAAACAATAGGTAGGCTTTCAAAATTAGAAGCACACAAGAGCATGTTTTGAAAAACATGTCTGGTAGTTTTTACAATAAAGTTGTTGAAGCTGCTGGTAATCTAATGAATCAAAAGACAAACATTGAAATAGTTGTGGTCAAACAGTCAGAAGAAGCTCATATGGCTTATCGTACTTGCTTGAATACGTGAATCGATTGCACTAAGTCATGATTAAAGTGACACTTAAAGCAACAAAGATAACTATTTGGAGCCCTTACAATTCCTAGCTGATCATGATGGGAAAATAAAGGTCGTTGTGTTAGATAAAGCTCTGGGAAATCTCAAGCTAATAGCTCATTTAATTCAAAAATATGTTTCTATTAAAACCATTAATGCTATCATAAGTGATATGAAGAATGCTAGGTTCTTTTCTTTAATGGTTGATGAGGCACATGATGTTTCCATAAATGAGCAAAATGTGATGGTTTTGCGTTATGCGGACAAAAATGGGCAAGTCATTGAAAGGTTTGTAGGAGTTCAACGTGTTCCTAACACCACTTCAAACACACTAAAGGTGTCTATTGATATGTTCTTTAATTTTAATGAATTGATCTTCTTTAATTTACGAGGCAAGGTTATGATGGTGATAGTAATATGAAATGTGAATTCAAGGACCTTCAGATAAAGATTTTGAATGAACAACCTTGTGCATTATATGTTCATTGCTTTACTCATCAACTCCAATTAGCTCTTATTATCACGGCAAAAGGATAATGTTGATGGTAACATATTTTTCTTATTGGCTAATAATGCGGTAAATAATATTGGAGCTTCATGTAAGCTTCGTGATGCATTTAGAGAGATGCAACAAAAAGAACTTATGAAAGCTCTAGAAAATGATTCTCTTATAAAACGTACCAGAGGTACAAGATGAAATTCACATTATGGTATTTTGATTTGATTTATAGGTTCTCGTCCATGGTCAATCTGCTTGAAATGATTATTGATGATAACACCTATGATAGTATGGCCGAAACAAACAGGTTATTGAGAGACATACAATCTTTTGAGTTTGTGTTTCTTCTATTTTTTTGTGGCCAACATCATGTTGAGGATATTAGAATGGATGAGTAGCTCAAGGGAGGTCACACCGTAATGCCCACAAAAAGATCAGCAATCATCGTTACAAAGTGGAGCTCTTTTTTTGTTGTCATTGATTCCCAACTTACAGAGTTAAATGATCGCTTCAATGAAACAAGTACCGAATTGCTCGTACGTTTGGCTAGTTTGAGTCCGAATGATTCTTTTGTAGCTTTTGACAAAGAAGCTACTCCGCCTTCATCCTCATATTTTACGAAGCAAGACCTATCAACACTTAAAGATCAACTCAATACATATATATTCATTCTATGCGTTCGAGAAGTGACTCTTCTCAGTTGCGAAGAATTAGTGATCTTGCTAACAAAATGGTGGAAAAAGGGTTGCATCGAGTATTTCAATGTGTATTTACTTATTGAATTGACTTTAGTTTTACCGGTTGCAACTACTTCAGTGAAGAGAACATTTTCTGCCATGAATATCATCAAGAGTCTACTCCGCAACAAAATGGGGGATAATAATTAAATGATAGCTTAGTTATTTACATTGAGAAAGATATTTATTCTTGTATTGACAATGAAACTATCATGACATGTTTTTAAAGTATGAAAGCCCGTCGTGTACAAATTTTGTATTTCTAGCTAGTTTGTTTACACAAAGATTATGAATGAAAAGTTGTAGTTTGCCATTTATTTGTTCAATGTTATTTTCGTCTAATTTTTTTTAGAGCTTTTATATTGGGACCACCCGGTGTTAAAAACCTAGATCCACCACTGCCCACACTTGACTCACACATTTGAATTAACAACAAAACAATCAAGTGGTTAAGAACATCTATCTTTGCATTTGAGATCTTGTGTTTTCGAATACCCATTCTATATCTTACCACTTGTATAAAAAAGTACAAATAAAATAAAGACAATATTGTGTATGAGTTAATGGCCTCTACTCGCTTTCTTTAGTACAACACGAGAGACAAGCAAGGTGACAATAGCAACGAAAGGATGACGCCTTATTTAGTTTCAACTTGAACAAACTCCTTATGTTACCTTTGTCTTCTTGTTTTGGTATCTATCTTTTCTTTCTACATTAGCACCAGCCTCCTTCAAGGGACACCATTGAACCTACCCCGGTTGGTGAAACATAACTCCTGCCCCACCATCGACTGACTTATCCAACTCCTTGCTAGTATACGGTGAAATAAGGGTTTGTACTTGGGGAGGAGCTTCACTAATCAAACCAAGACTAGATTGGGCTATTAAAAACTAATCCCAACTTAAATCAAACATGAGATCAGCTAACTTCGATAAGTTGGGATTATATCTTCTATATGTGGGATAAAATGAGCGGCCCAAACAGAACCAACTCAACCCAAGCCAAACCAGCCAATCCCTATAATTAGTCCAAGCCAAGCTAATGATATGTATCGAACACGCCCTTAATAGCATTCACCATGTACTCAAGATCTTGTTTGTTAATATTAGTTCTCCATGCTCACATTATCCCCTTGTATGGGAGAAATTTTCTTATGCAATCAAGATTTAGTCTCAGTGACATTACCGTTTAATAACATTTGTCACGTGTTCAACAAGGCACTATCTATTTAATAGACGATTAACATGTGGTACACTGGAGACATGAAATTTTTTTTTTTTTTTTTTTATAGATTGAAGAAAAAGAAAATTGAAAAGCTAACTTGCGGCATCTGAAGCAAAGAAAATAAGAAAGAAGAAGGTCCGCATCATTCTTAAAAGGTGTTTACCTGCATTAGTCGTTTTCACCGGTAATTTTAGCAGATGAAGGTTGCTTTTGAGTCCCATGTGAGCATATATGAGCATGTGCATTTCTCACATGCTGAGGGGCCTGTCAATTCCCAACTGTTTTTTATTTCACATGGACGAGATAACAGGGCCATGGACACTATGTACCCCACATTTTTTGCATTACCCATTTTAGCCTTGAAAATTCTGATTTTGTGAGAACAAGACGGAGACGTACGTAAAGGTGACAAAATTAATACAACGGTTACGAAAAGAACGTAATGTTATCCACACACGCATATTTATTTCTTGCGTACCTTTTTCAATTTTTAGCTGTCGGGTCGAATGAATGGAAGAGGGTTAATGGCAAAAAATTAATAAGGGTGTGCAAGAGGTAAAGATGATTGTGTGAATAGCATTATCTGTATAGATACTATATTAATGTTAGCGAGATTATATTTTGAGAGATTACCTTGCACGAGTTAATGTTTTTGATAGAAGTATTGCTTGGTAGAACAATTTTTTAGACTAAATTTATAAACTATGTGATGTGTCAATAATAAGAAATAAACACGTTCATCAGTACTTAAGCAATTAATTTCTTGGTAGAGATACATTATGTCATATGGTTTAAATAGATGGTCTTCATAGCATTAGCCTTTTGATAGAGATACATTATGTGAACCAATTTTTTTCTTTTTTTAACCATTTATGTGAACGGTTAAGATGCCTCTTATTTGATTTGGCATTTATATCGAATAAAAAAAATCAAATAAAAACAGAAATAAAGGGTGAGCACTTATCATTTCCCTGAATGAAGGGCTTCATTCTTAAACAAATTGCAAGGATATTTTTGGGCTTTTCATGTTTCTGCAAAGAGCTGAAGGGTGTTGTTGTATAGATAAGATGATGTGAGGCATATGCATGTGCTTGTTGGTTACACACTGAAGCAGAAAACTATCCTTTCGTCATTGCCCTGTGTCCTCAAAAAGCATCATACAGTGAAAAACTGCAAAAATATATTCAAAAGTATATACAGCTAAATTCTAATGCCTACTGCATCTGCCTATAAATATGTCACTCCACTCTACCACAAATCTCCCATAACCTCAACCTCTCTCTCTGTGCCGCTGTTTGAACTTCACTTTTATCTCCAAGTTTCAGCGCAGAGAAAATGGCTATTAAATTACTAAGCATTTTCATGTTATGTGTGGCTTTGATACTTGTTTTTCTTGAACCAAACCAGGTAATCTCTCTCTCTCTCTCTCTCTCTCTCTCTCTCTCTCTTCTGAGTACTTACGATAATGTGTGTTTTCCTTTGAATTTCTAGGGCGCCTCCACCGTAGAAACATCGGCATTTCAACAACAGCGCCAAGGGAATTACCAACCGGTGAGACTATTTATATACATATATATGGTGCATATATTGTCCACGATGGTTCTATCACTATATAATATTATATCCCGCCTTATTAGCAGAGATCTCGTTTCACTGTAGCAAGCACGAGCCGATAGGCTCCCGTAGAGTTTATGTATTTTACCGTATAGGACCCTCGCATTCTAGACAAAATGGAAAGAAATAGTTAAATGTAAAAGAGGTTCTATATGGTGAATTCATAATCTCTATGACAGTTTTATAGCTATCTGTTTTTGCTATGGTAAAAGAGTATTTGCTAAGAAGGGGCTCCTCTATGTAGACATTAATTCCATGGTTAATTAATATTTCTAATTTATTCTTTATAATATATTGCAGTATGGTACTACCCAAGGCAGCCTTCGTCCTCAAGGTGGGTTATAAATTTTAATATGTTACCTTCATATAGATCTTCTACTTTTGGCAATGGCAAGGAACTAATACAAGTCCTAGTAAATAGTATTTTGGTTTAATGGAGTTTAAATCTTATTAAAAATTCACAATCTAATTAATTTTCCAAATGTTTTGTTTAATTAATTGTGTTTAATCAGAGTGCGCACCGCGATGTACAAGTCGGTGCTCGGCTACAGCATACAAGAAGCCTTGTTTGTTTTTCTGCCAAAAGTGTTGCGCCAAGTGCTTGTGTGTGCCTCCTGGAACATATGGAAACAAACAAGTTTGCCCTTGCTACAATAACTGGAAGACCAAGAGAGGAGGACCAAAATGCCCCTAAGGACTTTACTCCAACTTATGCATTCTACATATATGATAGTTAGTCAAGCTCTCTTATAATATAATATGCAACTTAAGCCTAATAACATGATGTTGTATGCTCCAAAATATCCACCTTAAAAAGGTAGAGGCTTGAGGGTTCGACTTATGTATTAGTTATGTGATTTGACAAATATATAATTCTCATGGATGAAAATGTTCTAGTTAACGAGCTAAATAAACCTTTGATATCGTTCTTAACACCTAGAAGTTGGAAAATCATGAAATTCATGCAAAATCCAACTATCAATAAAAAAAATTTCTAGTACAAGTATTATACTACTTTAATTTACACTAGAAAAAGGGGGGGGGGGGTTTAAAACCATGATGCCGTAGGTTGAAGAGTAAGCTTTAATCATCAGATCAATCCACCATTTGCAACACTCAATAAATTAAAATTGTGTGCCATTTGATGACTGTTTCATTTTCAGTTTCACTTTTTTTTTTTAACTAGAAGATGAAAAACTCGTTTGGTAACTACTTTTAGTTTTCTTAGTTTTCAGTTTTGAACAAAATAAAAACTCAAATGGGCATTTTGAGTTTTCAAAATTTGGCTTTTAGTTTTCAATTTTCATTTTTAGAACTAAAAATAGTTAACAAATGAGTTTTCAATTTTCAAATAGTGATTAAAGATATTTGATATGATTTTTACTACCTGCGCAAATAGGGTTAAAATCATAAATATACTTGCAAGAGTACAAGTTAGTTGTAGTAGAACAACTCAAGTAAGACCATTCTCCACAGGGATTGTTAATACATTTTATATTTATAAACAATTCTCAATTGATTATTTAACATATAGTTTAGAAAAAGATTTGAATTTGTGAAGTGAAATAACAAAAGTTTATGAAAATCGGCAACAATGGAAAATAAAGTAAAAACACGTTTTGAAAAATCAAGTTTAAAAGACACTAGGGTTCCGTTGTTAGCTTAACAATCATACGTAGTTCTCCCAATTGCTTATGACTTATATATGTATACTTTGAAGGTTAGGTTTTTCCTAATGCAAATTCTAGCCCCAAACTAGAACATATATCAAACATGCAACCCGTCCAGACGTTTGGATCAAATCTAAAAATGTAAGGCTCATTAATTTTTATGAAAACCTTTTGAAAAACTAGGCAACCCTTAAGACATGGTATTCGCTTTAAGTCAAATTACAATTATTAAGCACAAGAAGCCTTAGCCAATTTCAGGCAAACTCTCCAACCAAAATTGCATTAAATTACTTGTCTAAGCATCCTAATGGTGATCAAGCATAAAGATAAATAGATAGTTTAAACATGATGATTAATAATTCAAAACATGTCATACCCGGCTCGGGAGGAACGACTTCTCGGGCCCGCTCCACCACCGTAGCACGATATTGTCTGCTTTGGGCCCCGACCACGCCCTCACGGTTTTGTTTTTGGGAACTCACACGAGAACTTCCCGATGGGTCACCCATCTTGGGAGTGCTCTCGCGCGCTACTCGCTTAACTTCGGAGTTCCCATGGAACCCGAAGCCAGTGAGCTCCCAAAAGGCCTCGTGCTAGGTAGGGATGGGAATATACATATAAGGATCACTCCCCTGGGCAATGTGGGATGTCACAATCCACCCCCCTTAGGGGCCCGACGTCCTCGTCGGCACACACGCGACCAGGGTTAGGCTCTGATACCAAATTGTCACATCCCGGCCCTTGGCGGATCATCTCCCCGGCCCGCTCCACCACCGTAGCACGATATTGTCCGCTTTGGGCTTACCATTCCCTCACGGTTTTGTTTTTGGGAACTCACGAGCAACTTCCCAGTGGGTCATCCATCATGGGATTGCTCTTACCCCCTTTTCGCTTAACTTCAAAGTTCCTACGGAACCCGAAGCCAGTGAGCTCCCAAAAGGCCTCGCGCTAGGTAGGGATGGGAATATACATATAAGGATCACTCCCCTGGACGATGTGGGATGTCACAAAACATGTATGCATAAGATCATAAACAAATTGAAAAGATACTACATATTCTTGTTAAGACTTGTGGCCTTGCCCTAGCAAAAAAAAAAAAAAAGTTACACATATTCATAATTGAAGTCCAAAGAAAATATTAATAAGAAGCAAAGGATTGAAAACACCTTGTATAAAATCTGCAAATCTTAAAAGCGATAATTGAATTCTTTCTCCAAATCGCATAGAGAGGAACCCTGAGGTCGGCCAAGCTTATTTATTCTACAGTAAAAATTCTTCCTAGAAAAGGTCTTAGAATAAAACCGAAAACTTAAATAAATTAAGATAACTTAGGAAACAAAATCCTAATCAAACATGGAGAATCAACCACTTCAAAGATCTGCCACGTTCATGGGTTAAACCAGCTCCAAAACTGGTCCAAAGGTCTTGTTAAAGATTCAGACGTCCTGAACAACTTTGTGGAAGGGCTCAACTCCAAAAAACGTCATCTTGATTGTTAAAAAGCCTAATTAATCATGAAACAACACTCTTGCAATTTTGCACACTTGTCCTTTATTTATTCACCATAATTCAACGGCTTGTCATAAAAATGTGAAACTTTGACACAAATAACTTGAAAGACTCATGACCATGATCCAATTAGAATTACTTCAAAAGTCATCCGTTTGATCACTTTTTGCTCAGAAGAAGGTCACATGTTCTTCATTAGAAATACAAAACAAAGTATCAACACCTCACCTAAATGTATTATGAATAGGATAAAATATATAATATGAAAGTGACTCATCAATATTCACATTTGATTTGACATTATTTCATGATTTAATCACGTGTGTGTGTGTATATATATATATATATATCTGATCTGAGTAGCCAAGAAATGTGATTAGGTGTCATTCATGGCTTGTGGAATTAAATTAATTTATAGAAATCTAAAACTAACCTACATTTATATTGTAATGTCATGATGTGGACTTGTAATAACCTACATTTATACTATAATAAGATGTTTATGGTGTATGAGTAAATCGTCGCAATGGTCCCTTAACTTTAACTCAACTGGGACAATGGCCCCTCAACTAAAAATCCATTACCATTGGTCCCTCAACTCATCAAAACGTGCATCTATGGTCCCTTAACTAAAAATCCATTACCATTGGTCCCTCAACTTTGATCCAACTGGAGAAATGGTCCCTCAACTTTAACCCAATTGTAGCAATGGTTCTTCCAACATAACCCATTTTACAAAATTCTGACGAAGTCAATGAAAATGACCATAGCTACATGTTTTGATAAGTTGAGGGACCCCAATTGTAGCAATGGTCATTCCAACATAACTCATTTTGACAAAATTCTGACGAAGTTGACGAAAATGACCATAGCTACCCATTTTGATGAGTTGAGGGACCAGTGGTAATGGATTTTTAGTTGAGGGACCATTGCTCCAATTTGATTAAAGTTGAGGGACCATTGCTATAATTTACTCATGGTGTAATCATCAACATTGGTAATGTAGCGCAATCACATTCAAGTATAATACCTACTTGACAATGTATTAAGGACGTCCACAACGTAAACACCAACATTATTAACAACTTCATTTTGTGTTAATATCGTTTGTTAAAAAAAATTATAATTTTACCAATTTTTGTACCATACTTTCCCAATTTCGAAACTACTAAGCACCAATCAACTTCATACCAACTACCTATTGAGAGGTTCATGCTGAGGCACCCTGCCGAAGCACAAGAGTTTTCCTCCACCTAGAAGGCCAATCACAGCACGATACATGTCAACAGTGGAATAAAAGCTCATAGAGTCCTACATCGATCGTGGACAAAAGCTGGAGACTCTCCTCAACTATAAAAGAAGACCATTCTTCTACAATTAATCCCTAATGTCATTATTGTTGACACACCCCGACCCTTAATGTCCACCTGGACTCCGAATCGAGCTTTGTTGGTCAACAGTGGAAGGTGACAAAGCCATAATGTGTAGTGATGTGGAAAATGTGAATAAATTTAAATGTAAAAGTGCCTAAAGGTAGGAGTGTGTATGTGAGTAGGAATGAACCCATTTCACATGTGATGTCAGAGCATAAGTAAAGTACAGTAAGGTAGGATAAGATTTATACCGTCGAGAGTATTTCCATAACAACGTTTTACCAAAAAAGTCCTTGTCGACGTGAAAGCTCTGCTACTAAAACCTGGAGGGCCGAAAAAAAAAAGATGAGTGGGCCTAAAAATAAAGCTTTGTAATACCTTTTCAAAACATAATAAGCCCTCGCCGTAAAACAAGTATAGTTTTTAAAATATACATACTACGTATAGTATGAAAATACTTACTGTAACCTGCAATATCTCAACAATTCAATACATCACAATATTACGTAAATAAACATCTAACGTTTGGTAATCACATAATCTCGCATAAACAAACATATCATATCGAGTGCTCATTGACATATTCTAACACACTAGTTCATGCAGAGATATTCTGACATGAGCAGGACTGGGTGTAATAATGATATATGCTCTAGTACTACAATCACGTGAAGACTGGCACTATGCGCATCACATACAAGTCCTAATTGCCTATAGCAATCTAGGACAAGACTGGCACTTACAATGGATCCAAAGTGAGCATACGGAGCGATGTGAACATACACATGAAAGGCTGGCCCTGGTCTGGAGGAGTACCAACACCAGTGTAGCAATGATGAACAGATAACGTAAATAAAATCATACAGTGGTAAATCAATAATTTATGTCAACATAATACTATTCACTACCATAAATATAAATAAGGCATCCCGTAATAATATGCATGCCTGTGCATCCCGTAGGATTCATAATAATCTCATAATTTATCATCTTGACAATTCTTATAACATCAATTTAATTATGGCATCACTTAGAAAATGCATTATTAATCTATGTATGGAAACTCAAATAATATATATACTATATAACAGAAAAGACTTACTCACAGATACTTGCAAAGTTGTAGTTCGGACGAGTAAATATGGATAGTCGATGTTAATCATACCTAAGCATAATAGAGACTCATTAGTAAAACTCAATTAAAATGTTTGAATTTGGAGAAATTGATGGCGGATTTGGAATCAGGGTGTCGAAATGCCATAAGGGGGGTTCCGAGTAAATTTTGTAAAAAGTCAACGAAAAAGTCAACCAAGACACTGAGCCAGCTAACTACGATA